AAAAAAAAAAAAAGAAATTCCAGCACCTCATTCCTGTTATAATTCTGTTCAGTGACAAAACGACAATTATTCAGCGTAACAATTCTTGCTAAATTACATAAATTTCAATATACTAATGAATAATCATTATGATAATCACCATAATAAAAGTATAATAATAGGTAGTCTAAGTTGTTTCCTACTTCTTTTTTTTCTTCAGTTTTTGTTTTATGTTTGCTTTGTATTCAGCAATTGGTAGGTTCAATAAAGAGAAAAAAAAAAAAACTCCATTACCGATAAGTACCCATAATAGAAATAAAAATATGAATTAAGTTGATTTATAACTTTTACATTATATATAGCACAAACATCTAAAAATTGTTTAACATTTCAAAAAGAGTGTATATGCAATATATGAAACAGTAAAAGTTGTAAAAGCAAATTTACTTTAATATTCTCAGTTAAAATTTTTATGCATTAAAATAAGCAACTATTTTAGCGACGTTTTGTCACTTCAAATAAACAGTTGCAACAATCATCTTCCTGCAACTTACAGCAAATATCAAAAGAAAAAAATTTATTCCAAGGAAATTTCTATTTAAATTTTGAAGAACAATCTCCACTCGACATTATACAGCTAATTCATCAAGAAAAAAACCTGACATCGACGCATTCTGTCAAAAAAAAATCTCAGCTTATCCATCAATTCAATAATTTACTGTCTTTTTTTTTTGACATAAAACCGCAGAAGTTTTCTACGAATAATTTAAAACAGTTTACAGTCACTATAGCTTACAGTTCTTCATTTTCCTTACCTAAACCTCTTTCCACTTATCCGCTCAGCAAATCTTGTAGCAGCTTTATACACAAATTAACTTAAACAATCCTACTAATTTTTGCACTGCTCAAGCAATTTTTCTTTAAAAACCATGTTTTTACAGCATTACAAGCCAACAAACAGAAGTTTCAGTATCCGGTAGAAAAAATTTCAAAGCCAAAACGATGTTCTCTTACTCCTTCGATTGTTGTTATGACTGTAAAAAAAAATATAACCGTCTTACCTTTACCATTAGTAGTATCATCTGAACAACGTTTGATACAGAGAATATACATTTTTTCGGAAAATTTCTGCTTGTATGAATCTGTTAACGAACCGTATACTAGAACCTTTTATTCTATGTTATTCTCAAATTATTTAAGAAAAAACTTTTACTATATTCATTTCAGCCTTCCAATGGCAACTTTACACAGCAATTTGAGCACATTTCTATTACTAAGTCAAAACTAACAGCACTGTTCGCGCAAATGCAGGAATAAGAATCAAATTTCCAACAATTACCTAAAAAATCCATCTACAAAGATCTATTGAAAACTTTGTATCCAGAATAATACCTTTAGTCCTTTCGGTACCACTTTAACCCCTGTTTGTCTCTTCTTCAAAGCTTCAGCCACTAAATTCTACTTTTTTCATTTACGAAGGTTATTGGCACTAGACAAACTCTTTAACTTGACCTGATGCATTGAAGTGTAGCACAGTGTTTATATTAATCTTTATCCAGCAAAAACTTTGCAGTATTTTTCTGATCTGATAACACTGAAACTCTCAGCAAGTTTCACCCTTCCCGTGCTGACTCAGTGATATTTTTGTCTTCAACTT